AATCATTACATGAGTGTTTCATATATAGGTTATTTATTTATAAATTTTTAATCAACCACATATTAGATCAATATCACACTAACATCTTATAAAAAATGGGGGAGAAAATCCAAATAAAAAGCCAATTAGAATAGATTTAAAAATTTTGAATTTATATTTTGATGAGTGCAATATAAGAATTAATTTATTTTTCTTATATTATACTTATCTAAATAAATTTAAATTTTATTTACATTAAATTTGATTAAAAATATTTTTTATATAGTTTTTTTTCCTCATACATCTTATTACTTAATATGTTACATATTGGGAAATTTGAATTTTGATATCATATAATAGTTATAATTGATCAAATATGTCTAATATTTGTTTTTTTATAGAATAAGATTATTAAGGCTAGGATATTCTCTCATGAGAGAAACATAAAAGTATGCATGACAAAAAATGCCTTTTCGTGAGTGTTGTCTGCTAGGGATTTTCCCTTCGTGAAACCTAGCCGCCGCCGTCTTCTCGCCGGTGTGCTTGCGTTTTCATGGCGAATAAGAGGTTGGATCCGAGTTTTCTTGAGGGTAAGAACTCCAAATCCTTCAAAGATGTGCTTTCTGGTTCAGTTGCTACGGCTAGTTTTCCGGATTGTCGCGTGTCTACCATTCGAGGTATGTCGGTTTTGTGGTTTTCGGAAGATGAGTTTTTACATCTTGCTAAACCTTTCGAGTATGCTTTGGTTGGAAAGTTTCCCCTGAAACGGCCGGTTTTGGATTCCATTCGTAGATTTTTTTTTTCAACCTTAAACTCTCCGGTGATTTTTCGGTCACTCTGTTAGATCAATCGAATGTGTTGATAAAGCTCTCTAATGATTTAGATTATGGGAGGATTTTTGCTCACCGTTCTTATTTTGTTTCTGGTTGTTTCATGAAAATAATCAAATGGTCGCCTCTCCTCGACCTGTCGGAGGAGTCGCCGATCATCCATGTGTGGATATCTTTTCCGGGCTTGCGTCCTCACCTGTTTTCTCCTAAAATTTTATTTGGATTGGGTTCGGTTTTTGGGCGACCGATTCAAACAGATAACGCTACGGCTGTGGGATTGTGTCCCTCAGTCGCTCGTCTCCTGGTTGAAATTGATATTTCTAAATCTCACCTGGAATCGGTGTCGGTGGGTCCGGAAAAATTTGGGTATGTTCAAAAGGTGGTTTTTGAAGGTGTTCCAAGCTTTTGTCATATTGTAAGGCTGTGGGTCACAGTAATGGTGAGGTTAATTTAGCCCCTGGATCTTTGAATTGTGTTGGTGCAGGTAACTCTGTGGAGGTAGGGGCTTTACCTGTGTTTGTTTCGTCCACTGAAGCCGTGGTTTCCCCAGTTTTGTTGGATGTGCCTATCGGGTTGGGGGATGATGTTTTACCTGTTAATGGTGTTGGTGTTGTTTCACCCCCTTTGAGGTCTCATGTTGATATCAACTGTAGTGAAGGGAAGTTGTGCAATGTTGTGACTTGGTCTGTTGAACCGACTGTTGTCTCTGGTTTACCGGACGTGAATGCTGTTAATAATGCTGAGTGTGTGCTGGTGGAGAATTTAAATGGGAATTCGATGTGCTCCAATAATTTTGTTGATGTCCCGGTTCACATGGTGGAAATGATCAATATGGTGAATCTTTTGAACTCTGGTTTTGATATGAGGGATCAAGTGGATTGGTTGCATGGATCGTCTGATGGTGAATTTGAATCCGAGCACTAGGATTGTGGTTTCATTTCGCAGGATTTTTGCGGGGGTTCTGACCTTGGGAATGACTTCTCTCTGGTTCGTGTTAGACCAGGTCGTTCGATAGTTTCTCGTGGGAGGGGCCGTGGGAGGGGCCGTGGAAGGGGCCGTCGAAGACGTTGATTGCTTGTTGTTCTTTTGTTATCTTTGATGTGCTTTTCAGGTTATGCTTCTTTCTGTTTTAATGTCGAGGTGTTCCGCTATGTTTGGGGCTATGATGTGGCTGAGGCTCGTGTACTCGTCGTTTTGTTGGTGGCAACCTTTGGTGCTTTTCGTAGTTGGTCGAATACTGGGCACTTTTTTCACCTTACTGGATGGTCCGTGCGAGGCGTATGGGGCTCTGGAAGCCTCGGCCAAATACTTAGCCCAATTCTCAATGTATTTTGCCTTTTTCTTTTCTGGTTTGCCATCTTGGTGTTGTAACCATTTCTTTTTATTAATAAAATTGTTTTTGTTAAAAAAAAAGGCTAGGATATTCTCTTTTAGTTAAGGCTAGGATTGTTGATAATAATCTCATTATTAAGGCTAGGATAATCCCCTTTTTTTTGCTAATGATCTCATTATTAAGGCTAGGATATTCTCTTTTAGTTATTAATTATTATTGATGATTGTTGTTAGTAATTAAAATGAGAGATACTTAATTATGTTCAACATTGAATCAACGAACAAAATATTTAGAGTTACTGAATTTGATCGCAATTCTCATTTGAGGAGGAATTTAAGAAGATGAGTAGAAGCATGCAAATAAGCAATAATTTGTTAGTTAACTACTTAGGCTTCGTTTGGGACGGCTTTTTTATTGCTTTCTAAAACGGAGTTTCAGTACAAAATACAAAAATAAAAAATTTTGTACTGAAACTCCGTTTTAGAAAGCAATAAAAAAGCCGCCCCAAACGAAGCCTTAGATGATAATAAGATTTCATGCAAATATGGAGAAAGTGTCATACCCAGTGAAATATTATGCATTTGTACATGTTCTTATTAGGTATGGTAAGGGTAAATCACTAAAATTTTGCATTTATATCTCTTGCATCTGTATATGAGTGTTATGGATGCATGTGTGTCTGAATCTATTTTGAAGTAGGTCACAAGGGTTTGTGTGCTTGAATATAATATTAAAAAATATTATTTTGGGAGCGGCACGACAGCTGGGCCGGCGACACTACGGCGTTAAGCTCTATGTCCTTTTCAGAAAAAATAATTGAATGTTGCGACACAAGGGTAGGCTCTAGGCACCGTGTTCTTTGATGGAGAGTGACACGGAGCTGCGAGGTCGAACGACATAGTGTTAGGCCCAAATCTTATATAAATATCAAATTTCACTCATTTTTTTAATCAAAAACTATTTTCTCCACCTAAAAGTAGCTGGGGGGAGAGAGAGAGAGATAGAGAGAGTTGAGTTTTCACAACTCCAGTCCATTTTCTTTAGTCAGTTTAGTTCTAAAAGTTGTCTGAATCGAGATATGTTATGTTATATGCCAATATCAATTTTAAAAAATACAAAGATTTTGAGATTTTTTTAAAAAAATTTCAGTTATAATTCGATCTGTAGCTTAAAAATTGAGATAACTTTACACCTGCTAAATTTTCACCATGTAATTTCTTGTATGTTTTATATACGACTATTATGCACATTGAAGCATTTTTCTGAAAAAATTTTCTAGTGTGGGCCATTTTTATCCAATTAAGAATAATCTATTTTCTTATGAAATCCCAGTTATACATTAAGAAGAGATTATCACTTATCAAGATCAAAATTAATTTTTCATATTCATCACATCACAAGATATTATGAGAACATAGATAAGCATCTTCATCGGTTACTTCCGTACGTCCTCTTCTTAAGTCCTCTAATTGGATATTCCTCTGCCTCTCTTCTTTCGCCCCATGCAAGGCGGATAAGCCTTTCTCCTTCATGGAGTATTGGACAAACTCCTACAGACCATTTTCTCCACGAAAAACAAAATTATCGTACCCCACTAGCTAGATTCCACAATATCAAAAAAAGCTTAATAAGATCAATAAATCTCTTCCAATCAAATTATAACAAGCTCTTATATTAGAGCTTAGACTTTAATATTAGAGGATTAAGAACATGATGAAATTGTTAATATAAATGTAATACACAAAATCATTAGCTATAGTCAACACAATCAATAATATCTGTAATCATCAAAACTCGTATAAGCTAATGAGCTCACGGAGTTTAACAAGTATTTACTAATCTTCAATGAAAAATCTTCTCGAAGTTAAATGTGATCATATATGGTTCTATAGAGATCGTTTGTGTGTATATATTTATTGAACGACAATTCAAAACCATAGTTCCAATAAAAAAATATTGAATTATTTTGTAAATATTTTTGTTTCTATTTATCAATTCATTAACTTATCAGATGCAGATTTTTATCTATACGATATTAAATCAAATCCCCTATAAGATATTTCAATTTTATGAAATGTACATGGTATCTTTTATTGGTTGGGAGCTTTGACCGAAAATGACGAGGTTTTGAATTGAGTCTTATTTATATGATGTGTGTATGAATTTGACTTCATTGATATGAATGTCCAAAATAAAAATAAATAATGGTAAAATATCACCTATTGCTTTCTGTTTTGTGTTTAGGAGTGTCAATATTTGACACGGACCAAAAATCCAGCTCAAATTTGACCTCAAAATTTGGGTTATGGTCAACCCGTTTGTGAAATGGGTCAAGTTTGGGTTCAACGGACTGACATGTTTCAAAAATCGGGTCATGTTCGGGTTGACCCGGAAACCTGGAAATGACTCGGCTAAACCCACTGCTCGCATCTGCTGCCCTCGTTGAGTGCCTGTCGCGTCGAGTCGTGTCTCTTCGCGTGAGTCACCATTCAAGTCATTGTCCATGAGTCTCGTCTCTTCTCTCATGTCGTGTCTGCGGCCTCTACCGACGCTACTGTTGTCGTGTTGTTGCCTTGTCTGCTGGTCGGGTTCGGTCAACCAGGCAACCTATACGGATAGAATTCAGGTTGAAATATCTAACCCGTTTGTAAAATGGGTTCGGATTTGGGTCAAATCAACTAGTATCGGATTAATTTTGAGTTGAACTCGAATTTAATCCGTGACCCGATTTTCACAGCCCTATTTATATTGTCATCCTTTAATTTCACTATTTCTTGATCCGATCCCCTCCAACCAGCAACCGATGTGATAGAGGATTTTTTTTTCTTTTCAACTCGGCAGAAATACGGAGTTATAGACTGTTTCCCCGATTTAAACCGGAAACGGCGTAATTAAGCCGAAACAAACGAGGCCAATGACTACTCTAAACCCCGACGATAAGATCCTAAGCTATGGCGACGTCGTCCTCCGCCGCTCCGATCTCGATATTCTCCGCTCTCCCTCCTTCATCAACGACCGCCTCATCGATTTCTATTTTGCCTACCTCTCGTCCTCCCACTCCTCCGCCGGCGGCGGCGAAGGTCGCCTTCTCCTAGTCCCACCCTCCATATCATTCTGGCTCTCTAACTGCCCGAACATTACCTCCCGAATTGAAGCTGCCACACCTCTTAGTCTCCACGACCGCGATCTCGTCATCTTCACCGTCAACAACAACGATGATGTAACCCTAGCCGAGGGCGGTACGCACTGGAGTCTCCTGGTATACGATAGGGGCAACAATGTTTTTGTTCATCACGATAGTTGTAATGGACTGAACCATCAGCACGCTCGGCGTCTGTATGATGCCGTGAAGAACTTTTTTGGCGGAGATCCCAGATTTATGGGGGGGCAGACGCCGCAGCAGAGGAATGGGTATGATTGTGGATTGTATGTGATGGCGGCGGCTAGGGTGATTTGTGATTGGTTTGAGAATGGGAAGGAGGGGGGTGAAAATTGGTTGAAAAAGTTGGACATGGATGTTGGTGAGGAGGCGGTTGCGAGTTTGAGGCTAGAGGTGTTGAGTTTGATCGCCAGTTTGGGCGGGAGAGTGTAATTAGCAGAGCAAAGCGTGAGGTATGCTGTGAAAGAGAAGGAAATTCTTTTTTTACCTATCTTTCTTACAATCATATATGTGAATGTTAGTTATTTGCTTAAATAATGCATAGTCCACGCTTTTTAGTAATCTTGGTGGCTTTTTTAGGTGTAATTTTGTGCTTATGCTTGTTATCTCTCTTAGCAGCTGTTTATTATCCTATTTTAGGCAGAATTTAAGCAAGATTTGGGTTAAATCCTGACTAACAGATTTAGGAGATTCTACATCCTGTTGTTTTCATAAAGCTCATTTCGACTCCATCATTGCTTAATTCCAGTATTTGTTAAATCCATCATTCACATGATTTAACAGATTTCTCCCTCATAAATCATAAATCTTGAAACAATTCATCACGATTTAACCAGATTTAGCAATTGTCATTTCACATAATTTTCAAAATTAAATTCTCTTAAGTTTTACTAACTTGAATTTACAAGATGTATTAAAACCTACTTGTAGCCAAATGGCCCTTTGCTCCCCCCTACTTGTCTTGGGTTGGGCCGGTCGAGAAGCTGAGAGGCAATCTTTGATGAAGCAGGGAGAGCGGAGAATATCGAGATCGGAGCAGCGGAGGATGATGTTGACGTAGCTTAGAATCTTATCGCCGGGATTTAGAGTAGTAATTAGGAGGGTTAAGGTTTTGATGTGAAACAATGATTGGGGTGTTGGTTAGATGGGATCGGGTAGAGAAATAGTGAAATTAAAGGATGATAAGTAAGCAATAGGTGATATTTTACAATATTGAAATATGTAAGGGATTTGATTTGATATGTTTTAAGAATGAATGGAAAATGATGATACAAAGAATATGTAAAAAAAATTGTGTATTAATCTGTCTTTTTGACTTAGCATCATTATTCCCTATCCTTAATGAAAATGAAATGGTTTTGTTTATTGCTAAATGGTCAAATTATTGAGGTTATTTTCTTGTTCAATTTATAAATGAAGGAATCGGAGTAGAAATAAAAACTTAGCAGTACTATTTGAATATCTAAAGAAAATAAGATCACCGATGGGCTTGATAGGGTGAGCCATAAGGTAAATTTTCTTATTGAAGTACCTTCTTAAGGCTGTTATTATATCTCTGGGTTAACTATGAGTGTTTTATGTTGACCCATGGAAAAGTTTGTTTGATATTAACTGGATCATACCTTTCGACTCCATTTCTGATTGGTTTTACTACCAAATTTCAGAAAAAAAGAAAAGAAAAGAAAAGAAGGCTCAATCTTGGCTTTTTTTGGGGTACCCTACAAATTTATAATCTATGAATCAGATGTTATGCTAGTTGAAATCGAGGAATTTTGGACGAGAAGAGGCTTGAGATTTATAGAGTTCCAATTTTTTATAACTTCTATTTGTGCTTTGGGTGACACATGAAAGTGGTGTGGGATGGGTGCTATAGATTTAGCAAACTAAATGTTTTTTAAGAATGACTGTATTTGCTTCTGAGTTCATTCCCATCTAAAATCCTCTCATAGCTAGTTTCCTTGTAAAGTTTAGCCTTGTTATACTTAAGGCGTTTCTTCTTTTGTGAATTAGATTATACCAGCTTAAAGTGTAATGGTGTTACTCTTTCCTAATCTAGTCTAAATTTCTGTTTAGATTGCCATCTTTAGAATAACTGATGTTTTTTAGCCTTATGCGTTCGTCACTGATAGCACAGACACAAGAAAATATCTTCTTAAATCCAGGTTACCAAGGTCAGAATTGTTACGAAGTTAAACCTATCCATTATTTCTTTTGATGCAGACTGGTTGATTGAATTTCTCAAGTTTGGCATTGAACCAAGTAATTATGCTACTTTACGTGCTAGATCGCTCACAAATAAAAGAAGAGTTGGAAGAGATTAATATTTTATGTAGAAATTAGGACTTGTCCCAATTGAAATAATTCTGCTAGTGTAAATAATCGGTTACAAATTATACATTTTCTTTTAATCGAGGAAGTTATTGATACAATATGATATACATTAACGGTAGAGAATGAATTTAATGGTGAATATTGAAGGAGCTTCGAGGTATAATAGATTTTCCTTCAAAAGATCATTTGTGGTTTTTTTTTGTCATTCTTCTTTAGACAAAGAAGGTATAAGCCAAGAAGTTCAGTATAAATATTGATATTTAAGTTGAGAGTTGGAGTTGATATTGATAATATATATTAGCCTTGTAGGCAATTATATGCGTTGATGTTGGTGGCGATGGGTGGTGATTAAGTTGGCATTTGTTGATGTTGGTGTCAATGGTGTGCATTGGTCTTAACGGACAATGAAGTCAACAGACGCTAGTGTTGGTGTCGATGACATGCATCAGCCTTATAGATGATGAAGTGCATCCATATTGGTGGTGATGATGGGCGACAAGTGTCAATGTTGGTGTTCATGGTGTGTATAAGCTTTATAGGTTGTCATTCATCAACTTTACTGGATGGCTAACAAAAAAGTTGACAGATGTCAGTGTTGGTCAGTGTTGGTATTGATGATATGCATTGATCTTAGATGTGCTGACATTCGTGATGTTAGTGGTGATGATGGGCAATAAAGTTTATGGGTGTTGGTGTCGATTATGTGAGCCGATGTTGGTGGTGATTGTGGGCGATGAAGTCAACAGTCATTTGTGTAAGTGTTAATGACATGCATCGTCTTGTAGGTGATGGTGGACGCCAAGCATTAATGTTGATGATGGTGGATAAAATCGACACGTGTCAACATATTTGGGTGGTAGTTATTTGTAGACTGTAGTCATTGTTGAGTTATAATGTATAGAATATTGTAGTTGGGCGATGGTCCTCAAGAGATCGAGGTCGACTAAAGATGTTCGGTTGAGACATGTGACACTGATCGATAGATCGTAGTTCGAAGACGATAATTATGAGACCTTAGTCAAGCGATAGTGGTCTGAATATCATAGTCGGTAGATCGAAGTCTATTGATGGTGGTCGGGGGAATATGATCGGGGGGATATAGTCGGGTAATGGTAGTTAGGAAACTATATTCGGGAGGCAGTTTTTGTACAATAGCTATTGTTGTGCGTTGATGGTCTGTGACGATCATTCGATGGTGACAGTAGTGGTTGGATGGTGATGGTTGGACAATAATTGTTTGATGATGTTTGTTGGATGGAAGTGGTTTGATGGTTGTGTAGATGATGGTAGTTTAATGGTGGTGGTCGGACAACGATAGTCGAGCAGTGATGATTTTAGTGTCTCATTATTTGAAAATTTACTTAAGTGTTGTTGTCAATAGTGTGCATCGATATTATAAGTCATGGTGTGTGCTGAAGTTGATAGTGATGGTGGGCAACGAAGTTAGTGATCGTTAGTGTTAGTTTTGACAATGTGCATAGGCTTTTTAGGCCATGGTGGGCTACAAAGTTGGCAAGAATCAACATAGTTTAGGTGATATTGGTCAAGAGACCGTAATCGCATGACGGTGGTCAGGAGGTTGTCATCGAGCAATAGATGTTAAGAGATTGTAGTTGGATGACAATGGGCAAGATTCGAAGTCAGATGATAATGGTTGAGGGATGGTACTCGAGCGATGGTGGTCGGGTGATCGTAGTTGAGCAATGATGATTGATGGACTATTGTTGGGCAATGATGGTTGAGTGATTGAAGTTGGGTGATGGTGGATGTGGGTTGTAATCAGACGGTGGTGGACGTGGGCTGTAGTTGGACAATGATGATTGGGAGATCATAGGCAGGCGATGGTGGCGATTCGATGGCAATGTTCCGACGATGGTGGTCCGATGGCATCCCACAATGATGGTTGGGCAATAGTTGTCAGATCATGTTGATTGGATGTTAATGGTTCATTGATGGTGGTCAGATGACCATAACGATGGTAGTTGGATGATGTTGATCAGACAATGATGGTCATATAACAATGGTTCGATCGAGGTGGTCAGATAGTGGAGCTTGGGCGAATGGTCTAATGATGATAGTCGGATAACGATGGTTGAGTGTTGGTGATCATCGAGCAACAATTTTTTGATGGTTGAGATCTCTCTAATTTCATGTCAGCATTCAAGTTCTATGTTCTTCTTATATAGATAATAAGGCTTTTTATTTGCCGTTTTAGCTTTTATGGCTTTGCTTTTAAAGCTTCTTTCTCAGTCATAATTTCAAAAGTGATTTTCTAAAAATAGTTTCTTAAAGGCAAAAGTTTAAAACATATTATATTTTTCTAACTATTTTTCTGACCACGAAGCAATTAAAAAGCTATTCCAAACAAAACTTAAGTATCTATTTATAAATTTTAGAGTATCATTCTCTCTAAATGTACCTAAGATTCAAAACACTATTGTATGACTCATATTAATTCCTTTGACTATGTGATTTTTTTTTCATGCTTTAGCGCCTTGATGATGTAAGAGACCATAGACTCCTTGGATTTGTGTCGTCCATATGCTTGATTTAATTATAAGCATGTTAGATTTGAAGACCATTTAGTTCTTTAATCAATGTTCTAAAATTTCAACTATACTTTATGTGCTTGATTTGCTTTTTGAAAAATTTTTATGGGAAGTTGCTTTGAGAACTAGATTTGCTAGTGTTTGGTAGTTGTAAAAAAAAAGTTGAAATCTGGCTTTTAAAAAAATATTTATATAATAGTTTTTCAAAAAACTTATTTTTCTCGTAATAATTTTTCAATCCTCTTTACAAAAAGTTGTATTCGTCTTAAATAAAACCTTAGAGTATATTTTAGGGGCAGTAGTATTTTATAAAATTAGCGAAATTATTGTAAGAAAAGTAATTTTTTTGGAAGCTACTGTGGATATTATTAATATGTTTTTTTAATCAATCAATTGTTTTCTTAAAGCTATAAGAAATTTGGTTGTAAAAAGTAGTTTTCCACAACAAAAATGATTAAAAAATAGAAAAAAAAAAACATGATTGAAAATAATAGCCAAATGGAACTATGACAGTAATATGAAATGCAATAGTGAGAAAACTATTCCAAACAAATCCTTAGGCTTTGTTTGGGAGGGCTTTCTTATTGCTTCTTAAAATAGCTTTTTAACATAAAAATCAAAAATTTTGTATTAGAAAGTTGTTTTAAGAATCAGTAAAAAAGTCGTCCCAAATGAAATCTT